GGCGGCGGGTCGCGCTCAGCTCCTCTCCCCGCGTAACCCCGGAGGAGAAGGAGGAGGAGGAGGAGGAGGAGGAAGGGGGAGCCGGGGCAGCCCCGCGCTCGGCCACCCGGCCCTTGGAGTCCTCCCACAGCGTCGTATTTCATCTACTTAGTCCAATTTTGAGGACATCCCTGCGCCTAATTAATGGCGCACTTTCGTAAAGTGAAATAAATAAACAAACGAGCATGTCTGCCTCATTTAAATACCTATGGGTCAGTCCGGCGGCAGCGAGACCACCAGCTCCGGCGCTGGCACTGAAGAGCGGCAAGCATCAGCAAAACTGACCTGCGGCACAGGGCTCGCACTGGGAGCGGGTTCTCTCGGTGCCCTCCCCGCTCGCTTGATGGGGAATCATGCTGGTAGTCGCTGGCACGGCGTGTCTAATCTCTCAAGCACAGTCTGGTCACTCATGGTACTACCTACACATTTCCTTCTGTAGCTATCGAGCTTAACCTTTCTGAATTATTTAATGAGCAAACATCCAGGGCGAGGCTGCTCGGCGCTTGCTGGGACCCACCGAGCGACTTACTGTGGCCCACATGGCAAGCAGCGGGGCTTTGGCTCCGTCTCTGGCCTGGTGACCACGGCCGAGAGCGCCTGAGTTCGGCTGCAGACACCCCCCCAGAGACTGGGAGAACGGCGGGATGCACATATACATACACCGATGTTACATATATACACGCGTAACATCCTACGTGTATGCACGCATGTATAGACTTACGGAGGGAAACCGTTCACGTGTCAGCAAGGTCGGAGCAGAACCTACTCCTGGTTTGGGTCTGGACCCGAGTCCAACAGCTGAGCACGGCTGGTCGAGGTTAAAACCCAGGCCCCCGCCTCACGCCCTGCCCAGGGACGCAGAGCTCGCTGCTCAGCAAGGCGCTGCGCTTCCCCGGCCGCTGCAGGTGCCCTTTGTAACTCCCCCGTGGTTACGTGGGAGTTCTGACAAACCTGCTTGGTAAATACGTGCGAGTCTTTCTTCCAGGACCGTTTCCTGCAAGATTTGTACCTCATTTATTCCGAAACACAGACTGTTTTCAGTGTGTATATATATCCTGCCTCTCATTTACCCCTGCCTGCCTCC